CGCTCCAGGTTTGATGCTGTCCCAAAGGGTCCATGTAGGTATATGGTAGGGTTTAGGGTTTAGGGTTTAGGGTTTAGGGTAGGTATATGGTATATACTTAGGGCCCAAAGGGGTTCCCATAGACCTACTTTAAGGCCCAAGTATACCCCATATAGCTACATGGACCCTTTGGGGGTTTGCAAATTTCGTATAGACATTATAGTGCCACCACACAGCTTATGCAACATAATCCTGAACTGAGCTGTGACTCTTGTACCTGCTAAAGCACTCGGAAACGAAACAAGTAGAAGTCTTGCCTTTGCAGCCGTCTGCAACACCAGTGAGAATTGTTGACGCCGAAAGTCTGCATGGCCCTAGTATTCTAGATTGCCGTAATTAACTCCCAAAACATCATCCGAAACTGTAAACCCTTACCCCTGAACCCGCATCATCCTAGACGCGGAAGGCCACACGAAGAGCTGGTGACATGCTGTTGAAGGCGGCGTCCAAGAGCGCAGAGAAATTTCTGGCCTGCAGCGTTTTACTAGTGGTTAGTAGGGAACAAGAGAGCATGTTAGGGCTTTAGGGACTAGAGTGTAGGGTAAGGAGTAAGGAGATTTACTCCCTATGCAACCCCAAGATAATATATCCCCTTATTCCCTACTAACTCCCAGCAAGCTTATTTAGTGCACTTTGAGGACCCTGATATACCTATGCATTATCCTTCGTTGTGACCTTGAGTGGGTGCGGGGAGGGGGGGGATCACCTGGTCCGTGCAGCTTAGCTTCGAGGGTGGTTAGCCGCGAAGGACAATGAAAAAGAAAAGGGAAATCGCGTTGAGGTGTTCAAGGGCTTTCAGTCGCCTTTAGTAGCAGCCCATATGTAATGTGGATCCTTGTAATGCCTATCTCTTATATTCCCCCATTCCAGAGAATGAGCAAGAAACGCGCGGAATCTGGGAGTTGGTGAATGACGTTGCTAGGAAAACCCGTGTGATCCGAAGCAGGCAAGGTTCAGACTACACGTAGTTCACAGGGGGTGGGGTGAGGGGGGTCCAGGAGATTCAGGGCCGCGCATATGATAAGTCTGTGTATGAAGCATAACTCCCAATGGTACCTCTGATCGGGCTGAGGGCCTTCGTTGATGATGATACAGCATATCGAATTTTGTTGGTTGTGTGCGCTTTTTCAGGTGGGTTTGGAGGTGAAGTTGTCAGGGCAAGCTTCAAGCCTCAGCATGAAGAAGTTGAGCTATGGATTTCTTTTCTGCACCCTAGGCTCCTACCCTAAGATCTCGGGGCTTTGGCAGAATGGAGACTCAAAGTGAAAAGCAATTGCAAAATCCAAAGGAAACTGTGATTCTGTATTCGTTAAGAGGAGCTATGCAATGCGGAAGCCTGAAAAGATTGCGTGAGCAGTGTGACAGCTTCGGCCTTCAGACACTTCATTAGGACTACCTCACTTGGTCACACCCTAAACCCAGAAAGGAACTAAAAGCTGAACATCCACAGTCAAAAGCTTAAACCGACTCCCCCGGAAAACCTAGCACCCAAAACCCCTATCACCATACTATACTACAATGTACCAGAATATGCCATAATATGCTATAATATACTCTAATATGCCATATAGGAGCAACCCTGACAACCCCTCCCGGCCTGCTCGGGCACTTCGGGCTCGAGTTCTGCAGCCCTCAGCGCAGCCGCCAGCAAAGGGCCAGCGGTATTTCTGAGCTGCCGGTCCCTGTCACCCCCAAGGTTTCAGTACGCATATGGTCCCATAAAATATGGTACCCAATAATACAGGGTTTAGGGCCCTATAATGGAGAATCAAATGGAAAAGAAAATGGAAAATGAAATGGAAGCTGGGATTATATAGGGGATTATAGGGGTTATGGTCTAAACTCCTAGTATCTCCCTTAATAACTTCCATAGTAGTCCCCTATATAATCCCCTATATAACCCCCCTGTAAGGAGCTTAGACTATAGCTCATATGGGCCCCATATAGGGTTTTGGGCGCGCAGAGTTTGAGGCCTACTGTAGGGTTCAAGCAACCTGTACCGCAAATGGAGGTAGAGGTTTCGGCTTTGCGGCAGAGGATTTAGGGTAATCAAAGGGTTTGCTAGTTTGGGATATGGGCTCTGAAGTGTAGGGTTTGGGGCTTGGCCCTAGGGTCCGGGTGCCTGTATAATTTACCCTTCTAGAGTCATGCGAACCCGCGGATTTTTGAAACGGTTGCGTTCTCACCCGGGGGTAGACCAGAGCCCTTTTCTTTGACATGGCTGAGCATGCTTTGACTGAGCAAAGCCCTCAGCTGACGCTCAGTTACGTCACAAGACAGAGTGGAGCTGGGCCGAAGGGAGCTATCTGAAGCGACTGGCTTGGACTAAAGAGCGAGGCGTCCTTTTGGCACATAGAGCTCCCCCTATTCTATCTACTGAACGATGATGATCTTGCCGTTTTTCAAGAGAGAATGGAGGAATGGATCCCTACAGCAGCCCCTCAATGGTCCTCAACAAGACAATAGTTCCCATTGTCTTTTCCATTGCTTCATTCCCTTCATAAAAGGCGGCAAGTGAACCCTAAATGCTTAAACCCTGTCTGTGTCTGTAGAAATCCCAAGTTCCCATTTGCGTTTCCAATTGTCCAGTTGATGTTCCATCATTCTTTCTACTCAAGGATGGCCCCCCCCCCCCCTCCAGCGTACGCAGAGTTTGGGGGGGAAATTTCAGCGGATATTGGGCCATTCCACCTACCTACTTCTTAAGTTCCAGGTGCAATCGACAGATGGAGCTCCTTCCTGAGCTTCCCTCTGGTTGGCACGGAATGGAGAACGGATACTGATAGTCGCCCCTGCAAGACCAAGTAATGGCCATTCTCTTTTCCACTCTCACTCGCTCATTCCCTGCTAACCAGAGGTAAGCTAAAACCCTAAACCTTGAGTGAGGTAGGGCAAGGCGGGGTATTCAGGTTTCCAGCTCCTCCCCAGATTCCAGGCAAGTCTCATAACACATTGTCCCACAATAGTATAGCATAGGGTTTTGGGGATCTGCATTACTGGACGGCTTGGGGGTTACATTTCTTGGAGGCAGAGGCTCATTACGAACATAATCTACCTAGACCCTCCTCCTACCCTCTATTAGGGCCTAAGTACCACCGATTAGGGACCATATATCCCCAATTAAGGGTACAAGGAGGGTCCTGGTAGTCTCTAGTTGTATGTCCTGCTTACAGTTGCTCTGCAGCCATAACATTCCAAATTCTTCACATTAACGTCTCTGAGCCCTTCGGTCCTCCGCATCTATGACTCTCCACCGTGTGACCCTTGGACCTTAAGCTCTTGAAGCCTGAGGCTGCAAAGTCACACGCGCTAACCTGCACTGATGACCTTTGATTTGTGGCAGTCTTGCGATCTTCCTATGCCTGCCATGAAGCTCCTGCGCAGTACCTCCCTAAACAAGCAGACCCCAAGCGACCAAAACACTCAACGGGGTTGCAGTTAAGCAAATTCATTCAGTAACTATACTGGGGAAAGCCTATTATTTACTATGTGAGGCTAATATGGTAACATAATTTAAGCTTTTGAACAACAACCCAGCCAAACCCCACACATCTCCCAAGCTGGCCCTTGCCTCCGGGATGTCCTCTCCTGCCGAGACTGCTGCAGCCTGCAAACCCGCGGCGATCAAAACGGTCCAAGCTGTCTTGCTGCGAGTACATGGGCGTTTCCCAAAAAAGAGGGGTACCATTTTTTGGAGGTCCCCATAAAGGGGTCTACATTGGGGTCCCCTTATTTTGGGAAACTACCACATAGTGACAGCTATTGGCAACAGACCCGCACAGCGTCAGGCTCTTCATGGTATTTTCGGCATCTGAGGCTCTGTTTGAGTGGAAGCGACAGTAATCAGCACGTGGTGAAAGATATGCACATGATAGCACAGGCTACATGTAGCGAGATGTAGCTTGCACATTGGAGAAGCGAGCGGGTCAGATGCGAACAGAGCGAGAGTTGGGGCTCCGGGGCGTTTGCAAGGCTCAGGGCTAGGGATTTGGGCAGAGACTGGACCTTTAGCTGGAGGGGCCATGTATATCAACACTTATGCTTCTTGACTGGGGCCCTGGCGCAAAATTGAAATATGTCGCTTATGGTCTTGGAACGTAACTTGCACACACCAAAAAAACACACAACACAAACGGCGATCCATCCGTACTTGAGCAGATTGTACTTGCATGAGCGGGCCGCCTCTGTGCAGCCCAGCCCAGTACTTGCTCTGGATCCTGGTGGACGAACTGGTCCTTGCCTGAGCTTGACTTTGAGATCTGCTCTCGCTGTTGTTGATCATTCTGAAGATTGCGGGTCCCTTGCTGGGGTTCCTACGAACTCGACGCATCCATTTTGGGGGTACGAGAGCCTAAGACGTTATTCAAACAAAGAGCGGCAAAACCAACTTAAGCAGTGATGAGCTACGTTGGTCGCGGGCGCCCAGCGCATCAATGTAATGGTTTACCCGCAGGACATCGGGCTGGAAGAACTGGAGCTGCTTGTGGGGAGGCTCTGGCCATGCATTGGTGGTGTTTACCTGCGAGCTCCAAAGTGGGATGCCCTTGCAGATATTTGGTGACTATACGAAGATTCTGGGGCTACCTCCTCAGCATTCTATACGGGCTGCTTTAAGGAACTCCTACCTGCCTCTGGGCTAGCGGGAAAGGAAGGAAGTAAGGAAGGGAGGGAAGGAGTAGAGGTGCCATGGTTCATGGTCTAGGCCTTGCTGTAGGTCTAAGCCATACACAAAGGCAGTAGCACAGGCATTTGCGCACGGCTACGGTTACTTCTATGAAAACCATCAGTATTAGTGGTTTTCCACCATGGTAAGAATAACTATTTCCTGCTAACCGGCAGCTGGGTGCGGAGAGGACATGGTCTGGGTTGGCACCCACAATGTGCCAGTACCTTTGTCGGGATTTCTTCTGACAAAAACTTTGATTTCTATCGGGTTCACACAAGTACAAGAAAGGTGAACACCTACCCTTCCCCAAACTAACATGGAACCTCAAAATACCGGCCTATAGGATGGTAGGCTCCATGGGGCCCGTTTTTGGGATCCATGTTGGCTTTGAGGAGGGTAATGCCTCCAAACCAGCAACCAATCGGTCAAAGTGTTTGTTACAACTTCCAAACAGCCCTTCCAAGAAACACGAGACTTTCGTCAAACAGGGAGTTTCTAGGGATACGAGGATCGTACAGGGATCATGAGGGGGTTAGGGGGTTATGTTAAGGGGGTCTCTACTCGGGCTTAGATAAGGATTGTTTCGCATAAATCTTCAGGTGTCGGAAGCAAGCAACAGTGCAACTGCTCTGTATTAGCCAGGTGCAGTCTGCCTGTATGCCGCCGAAATCGCCACACGAGCGGGGTGTCGGGTTCAGTGACCGAGCCCCCGTAGTTTACGGCTGGAAGCCTCACCACGGTGGCAAGGTTGTCCATTGAGTTCCTCAGGTTAGGGTTTAGGGTTTAGGGCTTAGGGTTTGGATCTGGGTTGCTGAAAAGGAATTTTAATTAGGCTACCAAAAGAAGGAAACCTTATTATTTGCTATATACACATATCATGGTAGCTTAAAGAAGGCCCTTGACAGCAACCCATTAGTATGAAAACCGTTTTTGCTGTATGGTAAAAAGCTTAGCCAGGTTTTTGGAAAAGAAAACTTGGAAGCCCGTAGCGTCTCACTTTCCCTTCAAAGCTGAACTATGGAAAGTGGCTAACTATAAGAAAGCGCAGATTCACTGACATCCACCTCTTCAAGCCACCTTGCCTATGCTTTGCAGACACGAGAAATTCATCGAAGCTGTGCATGTTGAAGACCAGGGATGCCCTGCCACGATAACGCCAGAAGCATTGAGTAAGTGCCTTAATGTTGCAAAAGGAGCTACAGACTTATGGTTATATGGGGTTATATGGGGTTATATTGGGATAATGGAAAAGAAAATGGAAACTACAGGGATTATAGGGGTATGCTCTTCATCCAAGAGCTGAACCAACTTTGTGCATACAGCAGTTCAGACAAAGACAAGCTTGAAAAAAAACAAGGGTCAAGCGCTTCCAAGCAGATTGGATTCCACCAGTTGCCTTCAGCCAACCGCGGGGAACCCAAGATGTTTGGAAGGTTTGGGTGAAACTCGACATCAGCGCGGCGGGACAACGCTGGAGCGCCAGAGCCATCAAGATCATAAATCGTCCAATGCTCGACGCCCATGTCTCTGTGGTAGTCGAGCCACTCTTCCAGCATATCCCGGTGATTTTCAAGTCTGTACAATGGCTGTGGGCAAACTGCAAATTTGTACTTCTGCGTCTCCTTCTTCGAGAGGCGCATGCCAAGATGCAAAGGCCTCTGCCAGCGTACCGGGTCCAGGAGGCTCAGGACAAGCTTGCTCCGCCGGGAAGGGAGGATGCAAGACCAAGCAGCAGGCCCATAGGGAGGATGCACCAGGAGACCAGACGTCATAAAAGCAGGACTCACTCGTGACTGGTTCTGACCGGAATCGCCATCTAACAGGCAGAATACGGTGTGGAAGTGGGAGAAGAATTCCATTTCGCATCTGTTCTCAGTCACCACATTGAAGAAGCCACTGACATGCCCCGTGCTCTGCAGTGACTCCACAAAAACCAAGACATCCAAGAGTCGAGTCTTCTTTCCTGAGCCCAGCAGGTCCGCACAAGTTCGAGTTGAAGCTGCCAGTCCTATCGCAGCCAAATGCTCATCCCGAACCACTGCTCGAGTGGCCATGCTGTCCTTGTCTGCCAGGCCAAAACTTCAAAACCCCTAAAATATGCACCGCAATTGGAGCAAACATTATGCTCAAAAGCCTGTTGGATAGCCCCTGGCACGAAACGCACAAGATTTCGCATACATAACATCCAAGCCACCAACTCCACGGGCATCACTGCACCAGGACAGGTGTCCTCTGGGCCGTCCACGCCAGGTACGTCCATGGAGGGTGCTAAAGTTGAAATCTCTCGAAAGAGTGTTGCCGCATCCTGCGATGAAGTATCGCTTTCCTATGGAATCGCGAAGCTCCCCATGTCAAGAATCGTGATGCCAATGTGCAGTCTAAGTGCGGCAGTGGCACCCCTCCACTTAACATGATGTTCGCAGAACCCCGCAAAGTTTCTAAAAGCACCTGCAGAATCCGTAAGGCTGGTTTTTTCGGGGACCCATGTGAGGGACGACCCATGTCAGCCTCAGCCAAAGCCAAAGGCTGAAAACAGACCTCCATGTTTGATGCCGGGCAGTTTATTAACCTGCAAACCGTTTCTTCTGAGGGAACCTCGCGCCCAAACCCATGAACCCCGCAGAAGGATGCAGAAAGGAATCCTTGATCCGCAGCAGGGAGGATAACCGACCGTCCGAAGCACATCTCGAAAGAAAACTTTGTGCTTTTGCCAAAGCTGTCTGGCGTTTCCTAGGTGCTTGCTCTGAGGGGCTTCACAACGGGGGCTCCCGGGACGTTTTCGGCTGCCAGGCGCATCATAGATGCATTCATCATCATAGGTTAATAACGGAATGTAGACTTATCTTATTAACACTGATGCCGATGAAAGCTTATTCTGTTCAGGCTACTTCCGAGCAATTGCAGTGGGCTTGAACCATGCTCGCAACTATGAAGGAGGCCTGTGAGATCAGAAAAGATTGCTACGCTGTTGGCCAACCTTCAATGACATGCAGAAATTGAATACCTTCTTGGAGTCTGTAGTGCTCCCGTTCTTTGAGGACCAGCTGGTTTCTCTGACCCCAAGAAGCTTACAGCTTGCACCTAAGATTCAACATGCTTTCCATATCAAGGGAGTTTGAGTCAAGCCGGCGGGCACTAGCTTGTTGTGAGTTCATAGACCCTCTCCTTGAGGACTTTGCGCGGATGACCTGAATGCTTTTCCGTCTGCATGATACTGCCACAGTTCGTACAGCAGCTGTGCAAACGAATCTGCAGCATGACCTTGTCATTGGCACCCTCATGATATGACTTATGGCCAAGAGGCTCCTTCAGCAAGGTAGCTGCGCGGCCCAAGTTGCACTCGCTGGACACCGTCTCCTGCAGGCAAAGCTCGACAATAGTTGTACCAGACACAGGAACCATTGCCGTAGTAAGAAGAAGAAGAAGTGGATAGGTAGGTAGACAGGTGGGTGGGTCGGCAGGTAGGTTAGCAGCAGTAACCATGATAACCATAGAAAGTCAAAGTAATAGCAGTAGCAGTAGCAGTAGCAGCAGCAGTAGCAGTAGCAGTAGTAGCAGCAGCGGCAGCAGGCGGAGGAGGAGGAGGAGGAGGAGGAGGAGGAGTAGTAGTAGTAGTAGTAGTAGCAGGAGCAGCAGCAGTAGCAGCAGCAGCAGTTGTAGTAGTCAGTTGTAGTAGTCGTAGTCGTACTTGTGGCAGCAGGAGGTGCTAGCCGCCGCCTTACCAACTACGTGCAAAGTTCAAGGGTTATTACTGTTGCCGCGCAACGGCCCTGCCTATGTTAAAGCGGCCGCCTGGAATCTTAAGCGGTGTAGAGACATGCCTTGGACATTCGCTAGTTGAAATGTCAGGATAGGCTTGAAAGTTAAAGCGTGCTCTCTACTGAGAATCACAAAAGCGAGTCCTGGCATGGGATTCGTTCACGGGACGATTTCGTCAAGCGGCGGCACAAGCCTTCCTGAGCTTCTTGTGCACAAAATGGTTGCTCGTACTCATGTTATGACAAGCTTTACTTTATCTGCTGCCTTTTTTGGGCTCGTTGCTCTTTTAAACATGTGGGTTGGGGTCTTTGGCTTAGAATACCTCATAAACACGAAGTTTGCAAGAACCAAACTCAGAGCCCATGAGACTTTATGAAGGCTTAGTGCTATGTTGCAAAGCAGTGTTTTCAAATCCACAGCGTAGCTCGCTCTAATGCGCAGCTGGTCACACAAGCACGCCAATCATGCAAGTTCCTCAAAAAGGAGACCCCATATTCCCCTAAAAGGAACCTTTGCGTGGGGGCCCCGTAGTCTTGACGCTGTCAAATGTCAAGGTGCCGCTGTCTGTGCCAAAGCCATGAAGAAAGCAGCAGACCAGGGGCTCCCTAGGCTTCATATGAAACCATAATCTAAAGTCCTAGGGGATTCTAGCGGGTTATATAGGGCAATATAGGGATATACAAGGTTTAGGGCTTAGAGTTCAGGGTCTAAACTCCTTCAAGAGGGTTATATAGGGGATTATATAGGGGCGGATTATAGGGGTTATTAAGGGGGATACTAGGAGTTTAGGCTATGGCTCATCTGAGGTCAGGGAAATGCTTGACGTTCTGAAGCGTAGAGAAAATACGGAATTGTTGCAAAGGCTGCTTCTTCGTGTCGAGGTAACTTCTGAAAGCACAGGCCTTCTAATTTACTTCGCATGGGGATGGTTAGGTTTGGGGTTTGGAGTTGCAGGGTGCTTTACGTACATGGGTTTCCTAGGGCTCAATCCACCACGGGGCTGTTTTCCCTACAGCCATATACATGCTAAAGTCCAAGCCCCTAAATCAAACTCATCCTACCCTAAACCCTATAAACCCCAATCTCTTGCCATAGCTCCCGGTCCCTGAACCTGAGACCAAGGATCTTAGTAGATCTGACCATGACACATCCAGGACCAGGTTGAGTACATCTGTGAAGGGAAGCTCCTGCGTTCTTGCGGCTTGCGGGGTTCAACAATATTAAATGATATTCACATACGGAGGGGTTTCCTAAAATTAGGGGCACTTTTAGAGGGGTTGATAGGGGTTATATAGGGATATATACATTAGGGTTTCCCAAAATTAGGGGTACAATCTTGGGGGGGTCCCCATAATAAGGACTTTCATCTCTTGGGCTCGCAGTTGGGGTCCCCCTATTGAGGGAAACAACCATGTATTGGGACACAGGGGAGAGGGAATATTGAAAAAACTGTTTTACTTGGGTTTAGATAGTTAGATTGGTGGGGAATCAAGTGGGGAGTAAGATGGAAAGTCAAATGGAAGCTAAATCATTCGATTAGGGTTTGGGGTTACGTGATGTTAGACTGTACACATATATTGGAATTGCAGCCGTCAAGCCCTAAACCCTAAATCCGCCAGCATAATCCCGAAAGTGGCATGTTCCGTTCTCCCGTGCACGCAATCCACTAGAAGAAGACCCTGAAGTTTCCGAAAAGCCTACGAATAAGACCTATACATTGGGCCCTACAGTCTGCAAATGATGTCTAATAACGTTGGGCCATGAAATGTGTGAATAGACACCTCCTTTGGGCCCTAAAGTCTGCAATGAGTATCTGCTCTGGGCCCTAAAGCCTGTGTGAATGATACCCACGTTGGACCCTGATGTCCCCTACTTTGGGCTTCTTAGATTTCCAGGAAAGTGCACACGAGTCCCTGGCTTCCGGCGCGAAGGCTAAACTCGGCCTGTCTGCATCTGGTTAACGGAGTTCAGACTTTAGCATGGATGCGTGGCCCTGGGGCTCAGAATTTGAGTAATGCCTACATTGGGCATTATTTTTCCATCATACCTACATTGGGCCCCAAAATCATTAAGCTATGTCTACACTGCGCCCTAACGTCTACGTAGATTAGGGCGATGTTGGAGCCTGAATGTTGTTCGTTCGTGGGTTTCGGATTGGCTGTGGGACTTAAAGTTACGGATGATGGAAGGGTTTCGGATATGCCGTTCCCTCGCCAAGACCTGCATCGAAGTCGTTGTACATTGCGAAACTGTTCTAATCCTATAAGAGGCCAGCGATGTTGAAATTGTCCATGTTGAAGTCCTTCCACTAAGGGACTCCCTGCAGTGACCCAATAGATTAGGGCTCATTTTCGGAAATTCCCCTGACTTGTGGTGCTCTTGTTCTTCTGTTTCTGGTAGGAACTTCGTCAAACTTCAGATGCTGTTGATTCATAGCTTCTACCTATGCATACACATATTTGTTGCAGCCACTGTTCTTGCTGCCCGAGCCTCCATGCTTGATGGCGCGGGCCCCAACCACAATATACTTCGGGTTTCACCAGAAATCTTGGCCTGTGCAACTTTGCTTTGCAGCGGCTAGTCCCGCGCGACTTCTAATGTTCCAGCTCAAAATTGCAATGAAGCATACCAAAAGGCTGCGTGTGGCTTAGCCCGAGATCATTCTGACTGGCCTCCATCCGTGGTGGTAGGATGCGGCAGCCCAAACGTGCCTTGAAGACACTCAAAGATTGAAGCCTAGGCCTCCGTTACCTTTAATTACACATGATGTCAAGCGTCGACTGAACCGTTAACTAGAGGCATCTTGAATGCCAGATTTTTGTTCTGCAAAGAAGGTGGTTGTGCAGGCGTTAGGGAGCTTGTGGCGGATGTTTCGACAAGCGTCACAAGGATTGACAAGGACGAACAAACGAGCAACCGCAGCAATAGCAGCGGCTTTTCAAGTACATTGGAAGTGCTGCCTCTGGGCCTCAGACCATCATCACGGAGAATGCCACATGTTCAAGCAGGAGAT